TTCGTATATAAATATAGTAACATATTTAGTTTACATGGATATGGCAATTTTTATTATTTATTTTTATAAAAGAAATTGTTTTGGATTTGAAGATTCGAATTTATTTATTTTAAAAATTTCCACCATTAACATATAAATTTTATTAAATTATTTTAAAATTAAAAATAAAAAATATATAAAACCTGGTAGACCGAGCCGGTCCAGCACATCCCGATTTCAAATTGAGTCGTGCTTGGGCCTAGGTTTTCAGGCCCGGTTCAAAATTTGTTCGTGTATGTCTGGTACAGATATATTGTCAATTCTCTCCACGCCTGAAATCGTTTCACACGACGATGGGTTTGGAATAACTTTTGGAACATTCAACACATCATTTCGTCCCTCTAGGTTACAATAAGGTCACAGACTCCTATCCAAATAATGATGTCGAACCTCATAAATAGGCCACCGCAACAAGTACTAGACTTTAGAGAAGTCGCATAAGACATCGAGTTCGTTTTCCACATCGCGGGCTTGCTCCTCAAGCCTTCCTGGAGCCGGCATCAATCTGTAGGATTTATAGTGATCCTATCTGACTATCGGCAAGGTCCCACTATCAAAGACCCTCCCCGGACTATATTGTCTTGGATCACCCATTACCCCGGAATGCTAGGGTCCTAGAGTTTTTATTATTTTTAGGAGAGGACTCCCGCTCGACGATAGAATATTTTAGTCGATTGACAGCTCAGTGTGGAACAAAGTTCAAGAATAATGACTTGAACAAACTCCCGTTGTTCTCCTTGTATTTGACTAGCCCAGCCTTCATATGGTATGTTTCACTGCCCCTGAATTCCTTCGATACATGGGCAGGTCTGAAAATGGCTTTCTATGAACGTTTCTACAACTCCATTCCAGAGATGACCATATCATACCTAACCAATCTGCGTCAGGATAACGAGGAGTTAATTGAGCAATTTCTAGAGTGCTTCAGAAGGTCATAAAGTAGGTGTCAAGTTCGCATACTGGAGAACCAAGTGGTAAACATGGTAATAGACAGATGACGCATTAGCTGCGTAAAAAAATTGGCTCTCGAGAAGTACCATGATTTCAGAAAATTGACATTATGACCCCCTACCCCGCAAAGCCAGGCATGTTGGGATTGCAAACTGGCCTTATAGGTCAACACGAGTCTTTCCAACGCGTTTTTATCCTCACTCACACGCACCTTGAGAGACTTTCCAGGGGGTTACCCATCCTCAAATTACTATAAGACAAACACGCTTAACTCTAGAGTTCTTTCAATAGAGCTTCCAAAAAAGACTATACACATTGTTGACATGGGTAGTCTATTCAATCCATTTAACCTCTAATCAACTTTGGATGGCCTAATACCGGCCCATCCTCGCACGGGAGTTGGCCAAGCAACGACCCAACTCCGGCGTATCACATTCTCCTCCACTTTAGAATGTAACGTCCATGTTGCACCCCAAAGATTATCAACTTCTAGACCCGTCACCAGTCCGGTCAACGACTGCAGGCTATTGTAGGTCGGCTTTGATACCAACTGTGACACCCCGGCCCGCAAATTACGCAAAGCCAAGCATGTCGGGATTGCAGACTGGCCTTACAGGTCAACAGGAGTCCTTCCAGTGCGCTTATGTCCTCTCTCACGCGCACCCTGAGAGACTTCCCAGGGGGTCACCTATCCTCAAATTACTCTAGGACAAACGCACTTAACTCTAGAGTTTTTTCAGTAGCACTTCCAAAAAGGAATGTGCATATTGTTGACATGAGTAGTATATTCAATCTATTTAACCTATAATAAACTTTGGATGGCCTAATACCGGTTCATCCATGCACGATATTGGCCAAACAATGGCCTTACTCCGGAGGTATCACATACATCCAAAGCCGTGAAAGCTAAATAGCTCTTGAAGGGCGCTCGAGCAGCCTGGAATAAGAAGTTTCAAAGCGGAATGCATCATATTTATGCATAGGAATAAGCTTCCGAAGCTAATGAGGAATCAGATGAGACCTTCCCGGTTGAGATCTCCCATGGGAAGGCTTACACTTGCCTAGCTCTTAAGCCGCCTTGGTTAAAGCAGATGAATATGAAGGTGTCATTCTCTTTTGATGTCGTTAAGATGGAACGGATTTTTGAGTATATGCTGAGGGATAACCAGCTTTGTCTGAAGGAAAGACAAAATTCCGACGGATGAGGTGCTGAATGGAAAATTATACTGAAAATGAGACCAATTATATGGACACCAGGTCAAAAATTGTATTGCGCTCAAGAATGCAATGCAAAAGACTATCAAAGAAGGTTGCCTCCAGCTGGCCGAGAAGCCTGATATGAAGGTCGATACTGAGTTGTTTCTCGAACCAATAAACATGGAGTATGCATGAAAAGATCTGAAAGATCAACATTAGAATCTAAAAAAGATAATAGGAAGATGGGCCTTGAAAACCGGTGTTTGAAAGACTCGGAAAATTGATTAAACCTCTGAGAATGAGCTCGGTACGGGATAGACTCTCCCCGACCAACATGGTTGCGAGAGTATGCTTTGAGAATGGTGGAAAGGTCTGGCAAGTGACCTCAGTGGATCAGATGGAAATCACACTGCATCAGACACGCCTTACCCTGAAGGCTCCAGAGAATGGGAATTGGGTTGTGAACCAAAAGGAACAGAAGTCAAGACCTTCCACGAGGTCTCAAAAAAGGAAACTGCAACGATAACGCCTAGATGCCCGTCTCCATCAGAATGGTCTGCCAGAGGAGCGGTAGCTAGACGATTATGATGCAGTGACTGGTGGAAGGACAAAATTAGATCGGGAATATTTACGCCATCAGCTTCAGACCTGGAAGAAATGAAGGCCAAATCGTACTTTGCCGAAGAGTGAATATCTTATTGACCAAAAACTTTATATAGTGTCTGAAACGGTTCAGGTTTCGGAGGATGAGCCGATGATCGGAGCGCTCAATTGCGATGAGATATCAGAAGCAAGTTTGGACATAGTAGCGACCGATCAAGACCTTGAACAAGACTTACATTATGAGATTGATTTCAAAGTAAATATGATAGGATTTTTACCTCGAGAGTTAAGGCTTCTCATCTCCAGCCACCTTACCTTTAAGAAGATGTGATAGTCGAATGGGGCGGTCTGTTATCTTGGATAGAACAGATGTCGACATTCTGAAAGTGGCCCGGAACCGATAATATTTAAAAGTTGGTGGGTGGAAGCACACGCCATTTAAAGCCCTTGTTCCTCATGATATATCTTAACGGGCGGAATGTGAGGAAGGTCTTGGTCGACCAGAGAGATTTCGTCGATGATGACCTTGTCGACTTTGAGGAATATCGAAAAGATTCGGAATGACCTTATCTCGACGAAAATGCAGACAACTAATTTAACGAGAAATGCCCATACAACATCGGGCATGTTGGTGGCCAGCATGATGGTCAGAACTAGGACCGACTGGATGACCTTCTTCGTCATTGAAGGGAAGCCTATGTACTTGGCCATCCTTGGAAGGGACTGGATTCATACCACCCAATGCGTCCCTTCAATTCTACACCAGAAGGTCATGTTTTGTAATGGAGATCATGTTGAGATGGCCGAGGTAAAGGCTGACCCAGCCATAGAAGTTCATTCCGCGGAGGCCGTCTATTACTCACCCGATGTCTACCCTTTGTCCATGATGTTGGGAGATGTCGAAGTTCGGAAGGAATATAATTTGACCATAAAAGGGTTTGAAATCAAAGTCGAGGCCTACACATGGCCCATCAACTCATCGGCTTATCATGAATGATAACATGATCCTCTAGAATCTAGAAGCAAGAGCAGGCAGCTCTAGTTGTTCATTCGCATAGGCCGGAGCTCATGCCGCTTAATTTCCCGACGGGTAGGCATGGGGACCTCCCCAGTCACCTTTTTTAAATCAAGGCGAAAATGAGATTTATTCTCTGATTTGATGTGCTATCCTACCATTTGAGGTGCAAGACCCACTGGGGGATAAATTTGCCCCTCGGATGACGCAGATCAATGCGATGCTAAAAACAAAAAAAAAAGAAGAAAATGATCAACTTGATTCGGGAGTTCAAAGATTATTTTGCGTGGAACTACTAAGAGATGCCGGGGCTGTCAAAAAGCCTGGTGAAGCATTGCCTACCTACAAAAGAGTCATATCGGCCCCATAAACAGCCTCCGAGATGCTTTAATCCAAAACTATTGTCAAAAGTTAATGAGAAGGCCGAATTAGATTTCCAAAAATACGTACAACCCTAAACATTTCAGGAAGGAAATATTGTATGGAAGGTCATTATCTCAGAAAGTCCCAAAGACAAGAGGCTCGGTAAACGGTCCCTAACATGGGAAGATTCGTTCACGATATCGGTCAGGTCATCTAGCGGTGCAAAAAAATTAATAGAGCCCGAATGAGAAGAGTGGAAGATATTCATTGATGGAAAATGCCTAAACAGGTTCTATCATTCTCCCTGGGAACTAGAAGAACGGCGCGATCGGCCTGTTTTTAAGAACGGTCTTACAAGAAGGGGCAGACCGATAATGGACAAAGATGAGTAACCAAAGATCAACCTGCCCGAGTGATTGATCCTAGACGTTGGATGCAAGTGAATGATTATAATCGGGAGTGTTGTGAATTTATTTTCAAATCCTTTGGATTTATCAAACAATGCCTCGATTACAAAATACGAAAATGAATTAGCGGAAACAAAATTCGAATAAAATGAATACCGATTCAAATTGAAATTAAACACATATTAATAAGGCTAAATCAATTTGGGAATTAGGGAAAAACAAAAGAGAAACAAACAGAACCTAATTGAAAATGTAATTGAATTTGACACAGGTATAATAAAGAAATCAATAAAAAATTCTTGTTTTGTCTTCCCTGTTCAGATAAATCTCTGATTCCCAATTCCTCTGATGATCAACGACAACATCTCGGGACGGCGGCGGCTCAACAACGACGAGGAGCAGGCCTCCGGTGGCGGTGCACAACTTCAGGCTATCTTCTCTGGGACTCCATCGGACAGCAACAATGGCCTCCGGAAGCGACCAGGTCGACAATAGTGAAGGCTCTCCTCCAATTCAACAATGGAAACTTTTTCAGCTGGGATGACGGTTTTCGGCTAAGTCCATGATGCGAGAATTGCCTGAGATAATCACACCGCAAAGTGGAGGTCGGCTCCTCACTCTTAGCCACAATACCCACCGAAATTGGTACAAGAAAAAGGATCCCGAAACTCACCGGAATCTCTTGTGGATTCACTCACCTCCGCTTCTCGTTTTTGCTCTTTCTGTCTAATCAAACTGGCTCACCAAAAGCCCATCTATTATCTCTTAGATTTTTCACTCTGAAACTAACACCTAACACCAAAACCACTTCACACCTTATATCTAATTGAGTTTAGGGTAAAAAGGGCTTGGGTTTGGGCTAAAAGGGATTGGGCTGATCCGATGGCCTGGGCTAAGGAGTGAGCCAACATATTTTATTTATCGAGAGACTTGTCAGGTTAGGCCTCAAATGGCCAAATTTCTCAACATACTTCATCTGTTTTGGCCGTGATTTAAATAAATCCCAAAATACGTATTTACTAGATATAGACTTACCTTGAACCAATGGATTTCATCATCGCCTTTTGTCTCTCGCTGCATCCACAAACAAACATTAACATAGACAAAATACATCACATGGAGTACATAGATCCTAACATGCACCTAGATGAATCACATAGAAAACCTAACACATAGTACATACAAATATTACACAATCGAGCAACATAAATGCATATTCATAAAGGAAAGCAATCACATGGAAAATATAAAAACTTAGAATCACATAATATAAGCTCCACCTTATTTGACTCAACTAGAGAACACCCAATACTAGACACAATGAAAACCTTAAGCACTAAATTCTATGGCTCTAGTACAAAGTCATGCGGCCAAAGAACCTGGATCAATCGACCACAAACACTAAGATCTCAGGAGACACAACCACTCAGACATCCTAACAAGAAGAACAGTCAGCAACCTAAGAAGAAATCTAAAAGAACACTAAGCAACTGGGAAAAAAAAAAAAAAAACTTAGAGGAACACCCAACAATTAGGAAGAAATCTAACCCTAAAAAAACTAAGCAACTAAGACGAAAGCAAAATACTAAGCACCTAGTTCGGCCGAACATTAACACGAAGAATGCCTTGGAGCACAATCATAAAGCATGCAATCAATTCATGAAATAATCAAACAACCAATCACATAGTATATAAATCAAGAATTATGCATTTTTTAACACACACAAAAAAAAAAAAAAAAAAATAAAAATTAGCATGCATTCTACTACAACAATTTGACTAGTACAAAAATTTCACAAGGGTATCAACATTACCTAAGAAACACAACAAGAATATCATAAAGGAACAAAAAAATTTCAAAAAATATCACCAAGAATAATACAAGAAAATAACAATCAATTCCAAGATTATACACCAACCACCAAGAATTGCATAGCCAACAAACACCAAAAAATTCAACATATTATTTAATCACAAATTTTACCAAGATTCACCAAGAAAGATAATATACCGAAAATAAAGAGATGAGGTTTAGCCTTTTACCACGATTTGAGTCCTACCAAACTCGAAATAAATTTTCTTTAAGTTTCGTAATCGGTTTCCGGGCTTTGATACCACTATTGTGAATATATTCCCAAATCTCTTGAATTTATCGAACAATACCTCATATACAAATTATTAAAATGAACTAGCGGAAGCGAAATTCGAATTAAACCAATACCGATTAAATTTGAAATTAAACACATATTAATAAAGCTAAATCAATTTGGGAATTCGAGAGAAACAAAACATAAAACAAACAGAACCTACTTGAAGATCCAATCGAATTTGACACAGGTAGAAGAAAGAAATCAATGAATTTTTTTTTTTTTTGTCTTCCCTGTTTGAACGAGTCTCTGATTCCCAATTTCGCCAACGATTGACGATAGAATCTCGGTATGGCGGCGGCTCAATGACGACCGGCAGCGGTGCACAGCTTCAGAGTGTCTTTTTCGGGACTCCTCCAGACAGTGGCAGCAGTCTCTGGCAGCGACCAGGTTCACCACAGTGATGGCTCTCCTCCGATTCAGCAACGAAGAATTTTTCCGGTGAAGGGATAGTGGTTTTTGACTCAGTCCATGATGCGAGAATGGCCCGATGTAATCACACTGCAAAGATGAGGTCGGCTCCTAACTCTTAGCCATGAAACCAACCGAAATCGGCACAAGAAAAAGGATCCCAAACCTCACCTGAAACTCATCCGAATCGCTCGTGGATTCTCTCACCCTCACTTCTCGGTTCTGCTTTTTCTGTCTAATCAAACCAACTCACCCAAAGCCCATCTATTATCTCTCAGATTTTTTACTCTTTGAAACTAACACCTAACACCAAACCACTTCACACCTTATATCTAATTGGGTTTAGGGTAAAAAGGGCATGGGTTTCGGTTAAAGGTGATTGGGCTGATCTGGTGGGCTGGGCTAAGGAGTGAGCCAACATATTTTATTTATCGAGAGACTTGTCGGGTTGGGCCTCTAATGGTCAAATTTCTCAACATACTCCATCTGTTTTGTCTGTGATCTAAAGATATCCCAAAATACGTATTTGCTAGATATAGACTTATCTTGTACCAATGAATTTTGTCATCGCCTTTTGTCCCTTACTGCATACATCGCATGGAGTACATAGATCCTAACATGCACCTAGATAGATCACATAGCAACCTAACACATAGTACACACAATAACTACACAATTGAGCAACATAAATGCATATTCACAAAGGAAAGCAATCACATGGCAAATATAAAAACTTAGAATCACATAATAGAAGCTCCACCTTATTTGACGTCAACTAGAGAACACTTAGTACTAGACACAATGAAAACCTTAGGCACTAAACTCTACGGCTCTAGTACAAAGTCCTATGGCGAAAGAACCTGGATCGATCGACTACTAACACTAAAATCTCCGGAGACACAACCACTCAGACATCCTACCAAGAAGAACACTCAACAACCTAAGAGGAAATTTAGAAGAACACTAAGCAACTGGACAGAAATCTAGAGAAACACCCAGCAATTAGGAAGAAAGCTAACCTTAGAAAAACACTAAGCAACTAAGACGAAAGCAAAACACTAAGCACCTAGTTCGGTCGAACATTAACACGAAGAATACCTTGGAGCACAATCACAAAGCAAGTAATCAATTCATGACATAATCAAACATCTAATCATATAGCATATAAATCAAGAATCATGCATTTTCTAAAAAAAAAAAAAAAACAAATTAGCATGCATTCTACTATAACAATTTGGCTAGCACAAAAAATTTCACAAGGGTATCAACATAACCTAAGAAACATAACAAGAATATAATCAAGGAATAAAAAACTTTCAAGCAATATCACCAAGAATAATACAAGAAAATAACAATCAATTCCAAGATTATACACCAACCACCAAGAATTGCATAGCCAACAAACACCAAAAAATTCAACATATTATTTAATCACAAATTTTACCAAGATTCACCAACAAAAATAATATACCGAAAATAAAGAGATGAAGGTTTAGCCTTTTACCACGATTCAAATCCTACAAAGCTCGAAACAAATTTTCTTTAAGTTTTGTAATCGGTTTTCGGACTCTGATACCACTATTGTGAATATATTCCCAAATCTCTTGAATTTATCGAACAATACCTCGTATACAAATTATTAAAATAAACTAGCGGAAGCAAAATTCGAATAAAACCAATATCGATTAAAATTGAAATTAAACACATATTAATAAGGCTAAATCAATTTGAGAATTAGGGAAAAACAGAACAGAAACAAACATAACCTAATTGAAGATGCAATTGAATCTGATATAGGTAGTAAAAGAAAGAAATCAATGAATTTTTATTTTGTCTTCCCTTTTTGAACGAGTCTCTTATTCCCAATTTCACCGATGATTGACGACAACATCTCGGGATGGTGGCGGCTTAACGACGACCGGCAGTGGGCCTTCGGCAATGGTGCACAACTTCAGACTGTCTTTTCCGGGACTCTTTCAAACAGCAGCGGCGGCCTCCGGCAGCGACCAGGTCGACCACGGTGATGTCTTTACTCCGATTTAGCAACATCGACTTTCTCTGGTGAAGGGACAACAGTTTTTGGCTCAGTCCATGATACGGGAATGACCCGAGGTAATCACGTCGCAAGGTGGAGATTGGCTCCCCACTCTAAGCCACGACACTCACTAGAATCGGCAACAAAAAAAAAAGGATCCCCCGAACCTCACCGGAATCGCCCATGAATTCTCTCGCCCTCACTTCTCACTTATGCTCTCTCTGTCTAATCAAAGCGACTCACCCAAAACTCATCTATTATCTCTCACATTTTTCATTCTCCGAAACTAACATCTAGCCCCAAAACCACATCACACCTTATATGTAACTGGGTTTAGGGTAAAAGGACTTGGGTTTAAGTTAAAGGGAGATTGGGCCGATCTGTTCAACAAGCTAAAGAGTGGGTCAACATATTTTATTTATCGAGAGATTTGTCGGGTTAGACCTCGGACGACTAAAATTTCCAACAAAAAGATTGTCGAAATAACAGCGAAAAAAATTTATCAATAAAATTATTAGGAGTACAAATTTAATGCGAGTTAGTAATTAATGATTACATTTTTAATCTTAAATGTTTTTGTAATATATATATACACGAGAATTGATTGGATGCTGATTTTTTAAAATATGCACTCATGCTCATCATGTAAATACTATTATGCATAATTATATTAATTATAATATAATTTATTTTTACATGATTAGCATAACTCTTTGATTTTAAAAAATCAGCAGACAATCCTCTCTCGTGTGTGTATATATATATATATATATATATATATTACACATTAAAGTTGATGTTGTGTTTTGTATAAAAAGGTACGGTCGTTTTCATGATATCAATATAAATTAATTATATTGATGCCATAAAATAAAAGATTGCCTCGACAATGAAAGATTCTTTGCTATCAATAAATCACACTTTCCGGAAAATTTTGCATGTTGGTAGCATCCTATTCTTTAATTTTATTATATTCATGAAAACATATTATTGAATTATTATTTTTAATTAAGTAATAAATTAATTTTTAATTTTTAATTTTTATTTCATTCTTAGTTCGTAATTAGCCACAGTGCTAAAAATGAATTGAGTTGTGTTTTCTCCGGGTTTTATTTTATTTTTGTAGTTTGATTCTAAATTTGAGTGTTAATTTATATTTTTATAAAAAAAATCATAATAAAATAATATAAAAAATTGAAACCAACAATTAATAAAATAAGAAAAGAATTTGATTACTGTATATATCAAATTCAAATAAAAATTTGCTCCATTCCAGCTAATTTGTCAACTTTATTTAGGGCACAGACTTTTAGATATTATATAATTAGTAAGTAATTAAAGTATGTATTAGTAAAAATAATTATGATATAATAAAAGTAATTATAGATAAGATTAAGATGACTAAATAGTTCAATTAAATAAAAAATTTTAAATTATGAATTTTTAAAATGTGATTAAAGTGTATAATTATATTTCTAAAAAAAATGACAAATTGTACGAGACAGACCAAAAAAAAAAGAATAGAAAAATTATGTTGGATAGAGGGAGTATATTTTTTTAAAGTGAAATATTCATTTGATATATTCAATAAAAGTGTAGGCTTTAGACCGCGACAATGCATATTTATATTTTTGTAGTTTTTCGTAATAATTCATCGCAATCTTCTGCAATAATCATAATGAACATGAAAATTCGGTATTGACTTACTTTCGTGACAATTCGCGAAAGTAAATACTTTCGAAAAAATTTCAACTATGAAAAAATAGTATTTTTCTAATAGTGTTTTTTTTTATCCAGTCATTTTTTATTCTACACGATTTTCAATATATAGTATATATTTCATTATCTTAGAAAATATTAAAAAAGCTACGACAAATAAAAACATTAAACAAACCCTATAATTCTTCTGTTTACCAAAAATATTTACATTTATTCTTTTGGGTGGTGTTTAAAAATATTATACTCCCTCCGTCATTCAATTGTGTGTTCATTTTATTGGGCACGAGTTTTAAGAAAAATATGTAAAAATAAAATATTTTACTTTTTTTGTAAAAAAAATGATATTTTTTTACTAAAAAAAAATGAAAATAAATTTGAATGACAACCAAAAAAAAAAAAAAAGAAAATAAGTTTGAACGATGGATGGAGTATTTAAATGACAACTAATGTGTATTTTTTGGTAAACTTTTTTTGTCAATGTATTTTAAAGATGTGATGGCATTAATATAAATAAATATAAAATTTGAAAATATTTATAATACATATAATACTGTGACAATGAGTTTGTTCTCTTAACATTATTTTTTAATTATGATTTTCTACAAAAAGTAATGAATAGTACAAAATATTTTTTTTACAAAAGTTAAAATTTCAAAAGAAATTTTAAATACTCATTTAAAAAGTCGAATCTTTAATTTAAAATAAGATATATTTATATTTTTGACACAATTTCTCGTATTATATACAAAAATCAATCTATTTAAAAATGGTGGATGAACAGAGCGAATATTTATTAAAACAAATATATTTTTTTTTTTGTAATTTAACAAACCGAAATGACCAAATTTATATATATATATATATATAGTGTAAAGAAAGAAACGTGTATATTTTTAGAAGTTCCATAATGAAAAATGGAGGATAAATTATATAACATTTTTTTCTATTTTACTAAAAATATATAAAATACGAAGCATTTTATTTATTATGTGAAACTTCATTGTGTTAAATTAAAGTTTGCACAATATACAATCTTCATCCAAAGTTGGTATTTGGGTGTAAATACGAACTTAATTATACAAGTTTTATACAAATAAAAAATTTATAAATATATTAAATAGTCTTTTTTGCATTAAATAAATAAATAAATAATTTATTAATCTTTCATTTTATAATTTTTTTAGACAAACTGTTATATAGTTTTTACAAAAACTATGGCTGTGTTTGGCAATTAGATGATAGCTTTTAGATGTTAGTTGATTCAATTAGTTGTTAGCTGCTAGCTGATTCAATTAGCTAGTTTGACTAGCTGATTCAATTAGCGGTTTGTATTAAATTTTTTGGTAAAATAACTGTTTGACATTAGTTGTTTATACATAAAATGACTATTAAGGACATTGATATGTTATTTTTTAAAATATTTAATTTTGTTCGTTTTATTTATTTTTGTTTATGATAATTTTTGTTATTAATTATTGAAAATTATAAAAATATTATAAAATATTTATTTTTATTTTTATTATTTAGTTCTGAGAAAATTATTTTTACTAAATAATAATAATTTTTTATTAAAATTATGTAAAATATAAAATAAATCTTTCGTATATATATTTTTATTATGTTAATTATTGTTTTATTATATATAAATAAATTAATAACATTTTTTTATTTGATTTAATTTTAAAAATTTATATATTTTACAAATAAAATAACTTATATATAATAATTAATA